TAGTTTTGCGTAAAAATTCCCGTTTTTCTGTCATTTTTTTTTTGTTTTTCTCGATTTTTTTGTAAACTGATGGAACATGTTTACTTTTGACCTCTATAATGCACCAAGGATATTCACTTTTACATCGGAAACCACCCCCAAAAATTGAAATTGAAGCATCATCTCGACTAGTTATGCTGTACACAGGCACAACAAAAAAAATCAATACATTCATCAATTCGTTCAGAATCTAAAATAAATAATAAATAAAATAATAATAATAATCATGGTAAAATCAATACATATTTCTCGCTTCGCTCAGATTCTAAAATCTGTAATTCTTTTTAACACTTAATAAGAGTTGATTGTTTATAGTAAGTACATTTATAAATTAATAATTTATAGTTTACATTCTATAATACTGTCGGTTGCAGATGATGAGAAATAATTTTTTACTGCGAAAATTAGGATCACCGCTCCAATGCAAATGTAGTAAACAGCATAAATCAAAAACTGTAAAAATAAAAAAATTCATTTAGAATAAAATGTAATTTTTCTTTGATATCATTTTAACTTCGAAATTCGACATCATTTAAGTACCACAGAAAATATGTTTTAGTCAATTTTGTAATATTATAGGTACAGAATATTGATTCATTAAAAAATGTCAGCATAATTTTATATAATATTGATTACATGTTGGTAACAAACTAAAATACAAATACCTATTAAAAATAAAACTATTTAACATACATAAAATATTAATTTGTTTTTTTACGTAGGTCCTACCATTTTAAGCAGTTCATTATAGTGGTGCGGAATAATATTGGTTTGCAGTATAATGCATGTTGTGTGACATACMATCATATCACTGTGGCACGTTTAAATAACTATTTATTATTTTATTGATTGTTTATTTACTTGTTGTATCGTTGAAACAGAGATAATATTCCCTTGAACGATGCCATAAGTCATTAGCGTGTGTAGGAATAGTGCTATAAATGAGTTAAATCCAAATACGAGGCCGTAACTATCTCTGCTTAATCGTTTTGCGACTTCGGATCTAATGAAATACCGGGTGGCTATTTTAATAAATGTAAAAGTTTTGTATTATAAATATTCAAATATTTACTCGGCGACCGTCAACATTGTTTGGTAAATACATCCGTATATTATGTAGAAAGCATAAATAAACCACATGGTTCTCGTGAAAAAACAACCAAGAAGTACTACTCCAGCGAGGATTGAACCAATTCCTAAAAACAAGTCTCCGACCTTAAACCAATTTAATTCAAGTTTGCCAATTGAATATGCAGCAATAGCCCCTATAAATATAATTTATTCAAAAATTAAAATCAAATTTAATATAATATTACCTGTCGTTTATTTTTGTTTTTTTATTTTTTTTATTGGGGTTGATACAAGGGTCATTGGGGGTTTCCGTTTTCCACCAAAAGGACCCTAGCCCGTTATCACCATGGCCGTTTTCCGCCAAAGGTTGTATTTCCGATTTCCGCCAAAAAAATTAATAAATTATTATTGAGAACCCCTGAACTGAATCCAGATAGCATGCAAGCTCCTCACCTTGTATCATACATGCGCCAGCTCACCTCACACAGATATTGATCATAAACTATATTATCTAATTCTTATCTTACGACTATTATAAAGTATTATTATTCGACTATTTAGGTATACCCAGCGTATTTTCTAAAGCATAGTCTACTACTATACTATATACGAATTGTTATGAATGTTATGATTATAAACATCACTCACAATTATAAAAATTAAAATTATATAAAAGTACTCATTCAATATTAACCATACGAAAACGATAATTTTTATAATTATTACATGTCTGTTGTACAAATAATACATTATTATACAAATTTAAAGCATTTTACGTAAAAACACTAAACAGTTTAAGTACCTATACATTTKTATGATGATAAGCATCACTCATTATTATAAAAATTAAAATTATATAAAAGTACACATTAAATATCACATGTTTGTTTTCCAAATAATACATTATYATACAAATTATTTACTATACGAAAAAGAGATTTTTTGACAAACTCAGTAGATGTACTGAGTACATCGTAATCATTACTGGTTGATGGATTCAGTTCAGGGGTTCTCAATAATTATTTATTATTTTTTTTGGTGGAAATYGGAAATATAACCTTTGGCGGAAAACGRCCATGGTGATAACGAGCTAGGGTCAATTTGGCGGAAAACKGTTWCGCCCGGGTCATTAGCCTGTGGAACTGTGGGGGAGGAACTGTTRGTTGGAACTCGTGGATGTTTTTTGGCAGAATTTCGGATGGGAACCCGTAGGTTTCTGCCATGCCTGGTTGGGGGCGGTGACCTCTCTTTTCAGACAGCGTCAACTGCCCGGAAATCGATGCCGCCCATAACGRAGATTCGAACCCAGCGACGTGCGACGGTGAGCGTCACCGGTGAATCCGAATTGATTCCCGGGTTGTTACGAATTGGTTCCTAAGTTGTTCCGAATTTGTTTCCGGAAAAAAGCATTTTCATTTTTTCTTCTCATTTTATACAGACTTATTACTATCTACATATTATGCAAGTATGGTTAAAATTGTTGGTTTTGTCATGAATTTCATTTAAAAAAATAAAAAATAATAATAAGTAATATAATAAAATAATAATACATTTTTTCAATTAGTCAATTTTTCTTTAAATAAAAAAAAAAACGATTAATTCACGACACACTTCTTATCTAAATCATTTTTTTGGTACATTAGTACTTATAATATTGGGAAATATGTTATAAGAATATTATTAGATCGTATTTCGCATTTTTTGTAAGTGTTTATCGCAGTGCGATAATGGTATCTCTATACACCTATATAGCTGTCCATCTATCTATCTGCCTATATGTACGCGTATCGTATAATAGTATTTAAGTTCATATTACGGTCATACGGTGTCACATGCAGCTATATAGCATTCAATTCGGATGTGTAMSACTTATACCTAGAATATCGAGAACCAATATCGGGAACTAATTCGGATGTCAATTTTCAGATATAGGAACCAATTCGGGTGCAGCCGTGCGTCGCAACTCGCAACCGAAGCCTTAATCTGCCTGGCCACTACACCCCCTATCGTTTATTATACACTATAAATGTTGCATTAAAGGTGACGACCGTATATATATATATACGATCAACATGCTCGTGTCTCTTCTACGACCAGCAACATATGGAACAAAAAACCATGCTCTAGCCTCTAATAAGTACATTTCTGTTAATGTTCAGATCTAATCAGTAATCACTATTCACTTTAATTGTTTAATAGAAAAATGAGATCTTGTGATCGTAATCCATGATCCGTGCCTAATTTTTTATATTAATTTACTTTGAATAAAAAACGACATGTTGATCATGAATTAAATTTTAAATTTGATAGTTTCAAAGATTTCGTTCTAACTGTAATTGAATAAAAATGGAAATACGGAGCTAGGTAGGTATTTTCCATTTGTCTGTCGTACAGATTAAGCCGGTAATATAATAATTCACGACGGTGTAGCGTCGCACCAATACCTAGTTTTTATTCGGTATGTATTATGTAGTCTGTAATTTGTACCTGCGACCTACCTATTAAAGTATTAAGTGATTCTGCTGCACCGTTGTACAAAGTAAAATGTGTATCCTCGTTTAAATTTAATACATAAGTGTACAAAATATTAATGTACGTGTAAACCTGAAATAAAATTATTCAGTGATATTATTGTACATTTAAAATATTACATATAAAAAATGAATATACTGTAGCAATGGTGATGGCGGTAAGAAAACTATTTCAGTCGCAGGTGACAGTATAGCGGTCGTATCCATTCTATGACAGATTTGGTGTCATTTGCTGTGGTCCAGTTTTCGAAAACCTGCAAGCCATCAATACTGAAAGGGTGGTTATACTCAATGAAGCAGAAGAGATGTTTAGGATATTCTAAAAAATGGTGATGGAGATCTTGACTCTCAAAGAAAGGGCCCGGCAGGCTGTGGAAGGACACAGTGAAAATTCATTGCAGCGGTCTTAAGAAACAGATTATTCAGAACGGGCCTTCAGACTCTGACAAATTTGTAAAAGAGAGTTAATCAAAGCCTGTATTGTTAACCCTCTATTTCAGTTAATGCTAATTTTACAATATACCTAGCATCGGGATCTCTAAACCTGAATAATTCATTCATGCTAAGGAAAGTRGATTCAGATATTCCCTGGGACAACCAATGTTGTAAATAATTCATTTTGAATAAATAAAATATGATGTTGCGAGAGGGCCAAAAAGTGTGCAAATGGTTCAGTCCCAGCGTGGTAGTGCCACATAAAAACAAATGCAATGCATTTGTTCACTAGAAAAATTTGACGAATGTAATAAAGACATTGAGAACGAAAAGATAGTTCAATATGAGTTACCGTTCTATCGATGGATACGCTTTCAGAGATGGTCAGGTGTGACAAAAATAGTAGGCATGATGGGTTGTTCGTGCGAGAAGGCATCACATTGAACATGCATTTGACATTTGTACGTTTTAAAAATAAGCTCACCAATTCCTGCTAAAATTCTATCGTACTTCAGCATAATCTTTATAATCTTCGAATAAATTTTAAGGACCAACTAAGCGAAAGAGGCGATTTCAGTCTCGAACGAAATTCAAACATCGACTTCGATTCGAACCACCACGTCGGCTGCGACTGACATACCTTACTCCCTGCTCTTATCATACACATATATAATATAATATTGGATGGCGCATCTACCTGTACATATGCTCCGAACGCGAAAGCCCACCACAAACAAAGTTTTCTAACATATGGATCTGAGTATGACCGTTTGAAATCCTTCTGTAAGTATAATAATACTTGGCCCAGAGTTCTATCGCCATCTTTATTAATATCCTTGGTTATCTGAAAAGTAATTTAATAATGTAAATTAAAAACGACTAAAAGTACCGTATTTGATGGTACTATTTAATAACTTTTTAAATATAATTATTAGAAATATCATAGGTAGTACCCATTTATTGTAATATGTAGATAAGACTGTAATCTCTGAGAATTGTGCTGGGGGCACTTACTTACTATATAATAAATATAAATATAGAGAGTTCAATATTAAATTATTTTACCTACCTTAGTTTGCGATGGTTGAGATTCAATATTCTCAGTAGTTTTTGGTTCATTAGGAGAAGACGTGTGATTTTTGACTGGTGGCAAAGTATCATCGGTTGTTTCAGATTTTTCGTTATGAAAATAGATACTATTAGTAACGTTAGGCATCATATAAGCCCAAACAGTAGAGAAAAGCATTCCTTGAAAATTAAGTTATTTATATTTTATTTAAAAAAAAATTAATTGAATTCATTTAAAAGACTTTTAATGAATAAGATGTATACCGAATATACTAATGTAAACCAATTCGACATAAGGAACTGAACCGTTGACAAGGCTGACTAATTGAGCGAAAAAAGACGATAAGAACTTTCCCGACAGACACGCCGCTCTAGCTTGCCCCGTGATCTTTTGATAGTAACGTTTATCATCGGTCATGGCGTATAAATAACCAAAATAAGCTACTTCGGATGAGAAGAAGAAACCGTAGAACACTTGACCAATCTGTAAAATAATTTTTTCTTTACTTTTTATTTTAGAATTAAAAAATAATAATATAACGATATATATTACAAAATATCACGCATCTCGATGTAAAGCACAAATATCATAATATTATTATAATGTAAAATAAATAATAGTGTAATAACTCATAAGTCAACTTACGAGTTTTAACAATAGTACTTATTAGGTATAATTTACCTGCATTCTTAATAAACTCGGATGTCCAACTATACTGCCATAGGCCATTACACCACAAATCCCGTCCATTATTAACACGGGCTTATATTTCAGATAGTCAGTGATCAGGAACACAATTATGATAAGAGCAAAGCACGAGTATGCTCCGACTGCATAAACATCTCTTGACGTCTGTACAAATAATTTTGGAAATTCGGTAAGCATAAAACTTATTAGATTCGAACATCAAATCCGACATAATTGCATCGTATTAAGCRAAAAATTTTAATTTAAAGTTTGCGTTATAATTACGACACTTGTTACTTGGTTCGCTCAAAAATTGGCCTTAACGACAATAATAGGGAACAAACAACAATACCACAAATGTTTAAGGAACAAGTCACGTTTATAAAAATTGATTTTTTTTTTCATTTAAATTATTTGTCTGCGTTTTATTTTGATGAACA